AGAGAGAGAGAGAGAGAGAGAGAGAGAGAGAGAGAGAGAGAGAGAGAGAGAGAGAGAGAGAGAGAGAGAGAGCCGCCCATTTGGCTGAAGCATCTGACGTTCAAGAGGAGGGTCAATTTCCTCTTCTTGTTTATCTACAATGCGGAGCACCAGGGATGCCTCAACACAACCTTTTTCAAATACTCAAAAGGCTTCACATGCATCACTCCAAGCGTAAGGTATGCTTTTGCTAGTTAGTCTAGACAAAGGGTGAGCACTGGCAGGAAACTTGGGGACAAACTTCCAATGGTACGAGGCGAGGCTAAGAAAGGATTGAAAAGTTCACATACATTCACCAGTCGAGGCCAGTTGCGAACGACCTCAATCTTGATTGCCTCAGGTTCAAGGCAACAACTGACAATGGGTGCCCAAGATAGATGACGCTCTCTCTTTCACACTTGGATTTATCCAAATTCAGGTGCAATTGTGCCCCCCTCAAAATCCCAAGGAAGCCCTCTAGACGTAGGTGGTCATCGAACTTCATTCATGTTTTTTTGCGAAAATCAGAATATTACCAAGATAGGCAGCTACAAATCTGTTGATCTGATTTATGAGAACACGGGCCATGAGACTTTGAAAGGTGGCCAGCGCGTGTGTGAGACTGAAGGGTATATGCTGGCAAACTCGTACAACCCATTGCGTTCTTGAATGCGGTTTTACGCTAGTCAGTCGGATTTTAACTTCAATCTTATGATGAGGTGATAACCAGATTTGAGGTCGATCTTGGAGAACATCCCCCACCCACCCGCAACCTCTAAGAGGGGCCAAATAGCCTCCCCGAGCATGCTAGTGGTCTCTGCTCTTATCAGCACCCCTAGCATTCACTCGGGCTGTTTCTCAAAAAAAAAAAAAAAAAAAAAAAAGAGGGGCCAACGAAATAGTAAATAATAAATTCTCTACTCGCTCACTCTGACCTATCATCGGTCAATCATATCATCGATCTGCTTTCTTAGTTCCTCTAATTCGGTAGACCCCATGTGGTAGATGCAGATGCAACTTCGAGGAGGAACGCTACTATGTCGATTTTGTGCTTAACGGACCATACTGGGACTCGACGATGCAGTTCAAACCAGAACATCAAAAAATCATTCTACGAAGTTGCAATTGTTTGCACGAGTCTTCGGTGGTGGAAAATAAAAATCAGAAGAAAAAATGCGGACTGCGAATTTACAGGCAAACAACAGATTCAGAAGTAGATAGAGTTGGATTGGAAGAAGACGAAGATAGAGTCAGAAGTAATAGGTTTTTATTGAATGAGAAGTACCATTTGACATTTGCAAAAAAAAACAGTAAGTACAAGGTACCATTTGGCATTTGGCTTTGTAAAAGCTATATACATCTGCTCTGCTCACCTTTCTCACACTTGCGTCATTTCCTACAGAATTGCATCGCATTCAGAAGAGTGACAAAAGTCAATAGGGGCTCGCGTGTGTTTCATCCAAGATGATGAAACACTCATTTCTCAGATTGTCAAGTACAATGAAGCGTGGTTCCTTCCAAATCACTTGTTGGCATTGAGCCTGAAGCCAACCCAAGTCAATGACCGCATCAAAAGGACACCGTTCCCCCCTCCGCATGACTGGGGGTGTCCCGGTGGCCGGAGGGTGGCCAGGCATCTGAGGCGTGAGACCAGGGCCAAACATGGTTTGACCGTGTCTTCCCCGTTTTTTTTGGCCCCAAAAAAATGAGAAAAAAGGGCGGGTGTAAGGCTCTTCGAGCTTTGCAGCCCTTTTTTTTTTTTTTTTTTGTTTTTCTTTGATTTATAGGAACTGAAAAACTAACAAATGGAAACAAAACAACCCAGAAAGGCTTTTTTTTTTTTTTTTAATTAACCC